CTTTAAAACACTGGAATACAGTAAGTGCCCTATATACATTACTTACTGTTTAGAAAAAATATAAGTGATAGTTTGAGACAGTTTGCAAAAACACCATGCATGTTCTATTAACTGGCCTCTAGCACAGTTTCTGGTGCGTGATACACATTCTCTTAATGTTTATTGAATTGATCTGATCGGGAAATCTCATTCTCTAGAGATATTCTAGGACAAACTATTTATCCCGTCACTTCAAATCTTTGAAGGTTAGTTGATGGATGCCTCAGGGGACAACTAAGTTCAGGTAATATCTGTTACTCCATATACTATTTCATATAAAACATTAAACTCTCAATGCAATGGAACAGCTGATATGGATGAAAAGCCATGTGTAGCTTTCTATTAGTAATCTTTCATACCCCTGAAACAGTAGTACAATTAATAATTTTTTTCTCTAGACAAGTTCTTAAACTAAGTAAAACCATGTGTAACCTCTAGGAATCTTCTCAACACCAATGGCACAGAAATCCAAAGAAAATAGGAAGACTCTCATGTCAAAATATGACAGGCTTTACTCCAACAAGGCAGTAATAACTTTCCAGATTGAGTGCTTTGTCAAATTACTTGTTTTGATACTCACAGACTCTTAAACTAGGTCAAGATTCATGAACAGGAGCAACAATCATTTGTTGAACATTTAGAGAAAGCATTTTATGGGGAAGAAGCTGTGTTACTAATTTTAGACCTCTTCTCTTTTTCTTCTTTTAAATAGTAGTTTCAGGGGGTACGTGTGCAGGTTTGTTACGTGGATATATTGCATAATGCTAAGGTTTGGGCTTTTGTTGGACTCGTCACCCAAATAGTGAACATAGTACCAAACAGGTAGTTTTTCAACCCCTATCTTCCTCCTTTTCTCCCCCTTTTTGGAGTACCCAGTGTTGATCATTCCCATCTTTATGTCCTTGTGTACATAATGTTTAACTCTCCTATAAAGGTGAGAAAATGTGATACTTGGTTTTCTGTTTCTGTGTTAATTCCGTTAGGGTACTGGCCTCCCTATACACCCATGTTGCTGCAAAGGACATGATTTTGTCCTTTTTTATGGCTGTATACTATTCCATGGTGTATATGTACCATATTTTCTTTATTCAATTCACTGTTGATGGTGGGGCACCTAAGTTGATTCTGTGGAGACCTCTACCTTATTTTTAGCACTACTGCATTCAGCAGTACATTCCTGGATAATAAATTAATGAGGCTTCCATATGTCTCAATACTTCCCTTTGAGAACCTTGGGATGTGTTTGCATTAAGTGAAACCCATTGTAGTCAAGTAAGTGAGTCAAGTGGTCAAGTGAGTCAAGTCAGTGGTCACTGTTGTACCAAGTTTAAAAGAATAATTGCCGTATTTAGCTTTGTAATGTCCTCATTTTATAAAGTAGATATTTCATGGCTCAAACAGTATCAGTGATAAGGTTATTCATGGCTGAATTTCTACTCATGAACATTTCTGACAGTAAATGCATACTGTCAATTCATAGAAAGAGAATTAAATGGAATTCCAGATTTTAATTACCCTATCCTTCCCTCCAAATCTGTTTCTTAGTCTCTGGTTTTACTTACCTTTGTACATATCAGCATCCAAATACTCAAGGTTGGAACTTGGGAGCCATTGTTGCTTCTTCCTTTTTCTTGGGCATCCTCACACCCACTCCATCAGCAAGTCACATCTTGTCACTCCTCTCCTTGTCCTCTGTCCCATCCTGGTCCCAGCTGCCCACTTCTCTTATCAAGATGCCTGCAACGAACCCTACCCTTTGGCTTGGCCTCCAGCAGCTGTTCTCCATAAGTCAATCAGCACAATCTTTGCAGAAAGGAAATCGGTCACTGTGGGTCTCTGCTCAAAATCCTTCGTTGCCTCTCACACTCTTTCCACCTCAGGACCAATTATGCTGGTCAGTTTCTCCCAGGAAACGCTTCTCTACTGTTTCTATGGCCAGCTCCTCATTCCACCTTGAGGAGTATTCTGTCTAAAGCAGGTCTTCATGCCCAGTACACAAGACAGCCATGATTATCCATCAGGCTTCATTTGTTTCTTTCATAACATTCCCGATTTTATATTTACTTGATTATTGTCTATTTCTTAGCTTTTCTCCCTTTAGAATGAAACTTCCATGGTGACAGGGATTGTGACTTATGGACCATAGTATCTATTTGTGGGTCTGTGAGTAACACTGGTCACTGCTTGGAGGGTGAACTCGTCACTGCTTCTGGGTCCTTTCCACTTCCTCTGCCTCTTCTATCAATACTGCAGCCCTGAAAACTCTGATGATTCAGTAGGAGCCGGTAAAAATGATAGGCAGGGGTTAAAACACTCTGTTTCATTTACAACAGAGAGAATTTCTTTACACTGTATTTATTTAACGGTTTTCCCCCAAATACATGTGTGTATAGGAGAGGTGGGGATGCAGAAGGGGATGGAAAAGAGTTCACATATTTTCTCTCCCAATTTGTGAGATGTAGAAATGAGAAGGTGAAAATGATTGTAGAAAATGTTAAACAAATATTTTGGAGGCAGGTCCAGCTTTTGGAAGCGCAGTATTTTTTCCAGTAATCAATCTGATTGATTGCCATGGACTCATTTTATGTAAAGTGGGCCTAGTAAAGAGATTGGGAAAAAAATATGTTAGTAAAGGCCCTTTATGGTTTCTCATAAAGTTTTTCCCTGAGTAAGCAGGTACGAGAGAAGCCTTTGTCTTCTGATTACATATATAACTAAGCTATGAGAGTTTAAATGTAGCCTTATTTGTTACTATCAAAAGAAATAAGTTGTATATTTGGTGTGGAATCTTCCTGCTTGTGCAATTTTTGTAACATTTACCCTACCACCTGGAAAAAAAGATTGGCCTTCACTTTCTTCTAAGAGGCTAATTTTACTTGGGTGGTGTGGACCATCTGTGGATCCATTCACTCACTACTTAGTATATAAATATACCAGGGACCATTGGTGGAGTCAGATGAATTATTATGGACTCGTTTACTCCCTGTCTTCTGCCATGTTAGACCTCTCAACTCCCTAGTAAGAGAGGCTTCCACTTTGTATTTAGTGTGCCAGGTTAGGCATGAGATTTAAACTTAGATCAGTTTAATATTTATTTTCTCTTTCTTGACAGACATTCAACCTTTTTATAGCCTTTTACTCTCTCACCAGATGTGGTCCATCTCTTCACACTGCAATGGGCCTCATGTGATTAAGTCAGTTTCTTAAACACCTCTTGGTCCATCAAAAAACTATATTTTAAAAATTGCTTTCCAAAGGAGACCACGTCTGCAGAAAACTTTTGGATGCAACACAGCTGGTTCGCTTCAGGGGACACATTCTCAGAAATGGCCGGATGATTTCTGTGTGGGCTGGTTCCAGGAGAGCCCCAGTGAGGTGCTCCCTAGATCATCAACATTAACAAGCTCCCTTTGCAGGTCAGTCCCCCAGCATGCAGTGATGTTTTATGATGTTTAGGAAGGTCAGAGGACTGCCAAAAATCATTAAATGCTTACTGATCTCTACTTTCTGGTTCCTTAGTCATTTCCTCAGACATCTGTGGTCTGCTTACTTCCTTTACCACCTTTTTTGAGTGTAAGTATCATGTGGATGCTTTTTGACTTTTTATCATACATGATGAGTCAAAACTGCTCACCATAACACAAAATAAACAGTAGCAAGAACAGCCACAGCCAAATGAACAAATGTGTTTTAGAACTCACGCAACTCAGGAAAATGAGGTAGAGTTTTTTTTTGGCAGAATCCCTTTGCAATATGATGCACTAATACTCTTAGCTGGGAATAAATGTAAGGTAGAGTGTGTGGAAGATACCACCTAAAGTATGGTGTGGAGCGTGGGGGAGCCATATATATATGTATATGTATAATGTAATATATGTAACTGTATATATATATACATGTATGTGTAGCCATATATATGTATGTGTATGCATATAATATAATGTATATGTATTGTGTATGGGTGCTTTATATAGATAAGCAAACATACATATATATACACACATATACGTTAGTTTATAAAGAAAAATATTTCAGAGACTTACAGACATTTGAGTTAGCACTGTGTGCAGCGTTATCAAATAGGGTCTGTATGTATTCCCTTAGATATGGGTCTCCAGAAAAAGCTTAAGTGAATGCCCCCAGCAGATTATCATTACGTTTAGACACTACACTTAGAGTTTCATTTCATTCTGTAATAAGGTGAGTTGATGATGGTGTTATTTCAATTTACAACTGAGAAAACCAAAATCTGCATGCATTGTCAAAGGAATTGCACTAGCATCTGCTGCCTCTCAGTATTCAGAGAATGCTCAGGTATTGCGATGGTGAAACAATTGTTTACAATCTTAAATTACTTTGCCATGTCGTTAGTCACAAATCATCCATAGGCTGCCTTCTTTATGTCATGCGCTTACTTTTAATTAAGGAAGCAGAACCAGCAAAGGCTATTGCTGTTCTTATTCATGGTGCATTGGTGGCTAAGTCTTCCATAACAACTGCGTAACACAATATCACACATTGTAAATATTTATGAACTGTGCTACAAAGAAATTGAGATTTTAAAAATATTAACAAATATTATTTCATAAGAAAAAATCTATTGTATAAAAGATCACCGTGTCAGATAATCTGTTATAATTATTAAGTGAATGAACTTGTTAAAAATGAATTGGCTATAAAATGTCATAAAATGTAGCAGATTAGACTACTTTTTTGGAGTCTTGCCGGACTTTTTTTTTTTTTTAATGAGTTAATATATTGCTTTTAGCAAAGAACTCCTGAAGGCAGAAAAGAAATTAGAACTGACTTGAAAATTCCCATCATGCTTCATTCTCTGGTGGAAATTTGCAGATCGTAATGGAGTTTGTTACATAATCAGCTTTGGGCATTCAATGGCTTCTTTTATTATAAAGCAGAATTCTTGCCTAACACAGCTTCTCCTCCCTTTTTTCGGCCCTCAGTTTCTGGAGTTACAAATGCATTTCAACAATGATCAAGTCATGCTGCAACAGGCACAGAGAACAAATAACTGCAAGAAGAAATTGCTGAACTTAGATCTGAAATCCCAGCATTAACAAAAAAGGTGAGATCAATAATGTTCAAATGGGCGAGTTGATGACAAATTTGAGAAAACTCCATTGTGGGTTTCATACCTGCTGTTTTATCCTCATTCTTCACAGAACACAAGACAAGTTGGTATTATGAAAATCATTATAAAACAATTACTTGCCATTTCTAATTATGTAATATTTGGAAAATGTCCAGATGTAAATGTGTCATGCTTCTTTTTTTAACTTTTGGGCTGTAAAATAATTAGGAGAGATGAAATTGAATTAATGTAATAAAACACTATCTGACATAAAATAAATTTTATAACTGATCCAACAAGTTGTAGATAGAACTCCTTAAACTCCAAGTAGCATTGAACTTTCAGATGCCGTTGAAAATATGTTGCTGCTTTTTAATGACTTCAGGGGATTGAACAACTTAACCTTCTTTCGAATATTATACTGATTACCCCCAAACCAAACGCAATATGCTTTTCTCAGTGACAAAAACCAAGTTTCTCACTGTACAAATTTACCAATATCAGAGACTTTTCTTATGATTGTGAGCTGGCTAAAATTTACCAAAGATAAGAAGATGATATTATCCCCAAACACTGCTATGAAGTTTTTTATTCAAGTATTACTATCATGGTTGCACAATAGTGTGAATGTAATCAGTGCCACTAAACTATACATTCAAAAACAGTTAAGATGGTAAATTTGATGTTATGTATATTTTACCACAATTAAAAAAAAAACACAAAGAAAGAATAATTATGCAATGATCACCTGGGCACAAGTTTAATAAAAAGAGCACTACATTTAGTTCTGACATTTTATGAGTGCCCTCCCGGTATCTCCTGGTCCCTTCACAGCCCATCCTGTCCTGACCTGAATTTTGTGTTACCGTTCGCTTGCTATCAAAGATAGCAAAAGTCTTGCACATGAAAGAACTTTATAAATGGAATCTTCTTCTATGTGTCCCTCTGCAACAGCTTTTTCATTCAATCTTTAGTTCCAGATTCATTTATATTGTTACATGTAGCTATACTTTATATGTTTTCACTGCTCTATCACATGGATATACCACAATCTATTTATCCATTTGCTGTCGATCTGTTGATTGAGGTTGCATTTGGGCTGCTTCTCATTTTATTCTTTTTTTTTTTTTTGGTTATTACACATAGTACTGCTTTGAACCATTTGTCTCCCTGTACATATGGACAAAAATTGTCACTATGGCATATACCTAAGAGCAAAACAACTTTTCTAGAAAATGCCAAATTGCTTTCTAGATAATGCTAACTTACTTTTCAAATTTACCCACTTACATACCCACTAGCCTTGTAAAAGTGCTGGGACACTCCATGTTCTCACTAGAGTTATAATGTTTTGCCTATCTGGTTTATATAACATGATAGCTCACTGTGGTTTTAATTTTCAACTTCCTGATTTCTAATGAGGCTGTGTATCTTTTCCTTTTTATTGGCCATTTGTGTCTTCCCTTCTGTGAAGAGCCTATTCAAGCGTTTTGTTCATTTTTCTATTGAGTCCTTTGTCTTTTTCTAATTAATTTGTGGAGTTCTTTCTGTGAGTGATGTGGATTGCAAGTCTTTTTTCCCCAGTTTGTGGCTTTTCTTTTCACTCTTTTTGGTGTCTGCATCGACAATTTTTTACATTTCTGTTATGGATGAAATCATGAGGGAAAGAACAAAAGATACAGCTTTGGCAGTCTAGTCAATCTGTGTCTCGTCTCATAAATCACACAGCGTCTATCAGCCTAGAAGGCTGAGTTTGTATTTCTGTTGATTGAAGGCAGCAACTACATCTCAAAACTCAACTGCATCTCAGTCATCATTAAGCAATGTTTATGGTAGTATTTTAACTGTGCCTGGAACAAATGGTTACTCCATCCATTTTCCTAGCCCGCTGCACATAGTTTATTCAGTAGCCATAGAATCTGGCAAATATATAAATGCCTGCTTTCCAAGATAAGAATAAGTTACAGACATTCAAGACTTTTGTATTAGGAAAGTGCAGGCATTGTACACAGACCTGGTTTCAAATACCTCCTCCTTCATTTTCCAGGAATAAGATCTCTAGGCTTCCACTTCCTTATCTCTATATTGGGATTAATAAATAGTTACTGCAGAGGAGATTTGAGTAGATTTAATTACAAAATCAACTTAGAGTACCCATCATTTAATACATGCTCAATAAATGATAATTATTAGTGGGATTACCATTGTAGAATAAATGGCTATGCCAAGAATCACTGTATATAGATATTTCAATTTTGTTAAAACAAAAGGGTAGAAATTTAAACTCAAGGAAAGGTAAAAATTACCCCAATGAGATCTCAGATTTAAGAGCAGCAAGATAGTGAGTTGTTGCCACAGTACCAGGGCCAATACCCATAAGGGGGAACCAGAGTACAAAATGTCCTCACCTGCTCCATCTGCCGTACCATTCCCCATGGTACTTCCGGTGTGACCCAGCTGTGCCACTGTCAGAATGGAGTAACTAGAAAGTCAGTAGCTCAAGAGCACATTTTATTCTCTTATTATACATGGAGCACTTCTTTAGGGGCCAGACTGGAATTTTTTCCCACCTCTCTGCCAATGTTGAGCACATGGGTAGCACAAAGGTCTGATCTTAAATCCCGAATGAAAAAGATATTATTGCTGCCCTTGAAGAGTTTAAAATCTAGTTGGGAAGAAAGCAATCCCTATAAAACAATTGGAGAGTAATGAAGAAAAGATAATTGTCAAACTGTTGATTTTATTTTAATAGCTACATCCTATAAAGAGTTCACTGATACAGTAAAACTATTATTAATTAAAATTGGTTATTTTTCAAGATTTGCTGCTTATTAAAAAAGAAAAAAAGCAAGTGTGCCTTTGTTCAGTACTTGTTTCCTATCCAAATGTCATCAGTGATGTTTTAACCTCATATCCTATCAGCTTCAAGTTAATTTGCTGCATTTTCTTTGTCTATGTTTTTCATTATTTTAAAAAGTGTTTGTTCACTGGGTTGGCAGCAAACGAGAATTAGTTCTTTGCAGCCTTAAGTGAACTGACCTGACCAAGGTTACCTGCCAGCAGGCAGTCATTTTTACAGAAAGGACTGAAGTATTTAGACTGGTAGCTCTGTACTTCTTCATCTCACTGCTTTTCCAGCTCAAGTGGAGATCTATTTTTGTCTGGGTGGTTTAAACAAGGTGTGATGTTAGTGCAGGGATGAATGACTCTCACAGGGAACAAGAACTCCAGCTTCCCAGTGACAGCCCGTGCCTGCCTCTCCTCCAGGATGCTTTCCTACTTATCAAGGGAATGAAGACAAGTGGACATGGGTCCTGCTGTGCTGCAGCACCTTTGAAAATACCTGTGAAATACAAATCAGTGCTTCCATTTCTGAAGCAATTGCAACAACTCTTTAGCCCAGAGGATGAGCAGAGTTTAAGAAGATAAATCTGAAAGACCCTTTCAGGGGTTCTTTTATATTAAGACACCCAGAAGGCAAAACTGAAATAACTGAAAAAGAAAAACACACAAAAAAACACACCAGGAAACCCCCAGAAGAAGCTGCTATTCCATTGTAAAATCTAGGATATACCTCTACTTATACAAGTTGTCCTGAAATAATGTTAGTGTGCTCCCAAGGTAGCAAATATAGATATAAACACCTAGCCAGCAAAATTGGCCCCCGAATTTATAGATTGCCTTGTTTCCAAGAATAATGATTTAGTGAAGGTGTCAGCTGTCACAGTACAGCCATCACTCACTCAGCAGTGGAAAGAGTGCCTAGTGCTCATCCAAGCCTAAAGCAGGATGCTTATTGACTAACCAGGAAATGAGGCTTCTGATAGTCTATTAGAATGTTAAAGAGAAAAAAAAAACCACTGAAACATTTGTAATAGCTCACTATTGAGTAAACATCATTATGCACAGTACATCTTTGCCAATCTTTCCTGAAATCATTATAGAATGCGTACTACCTTTGACAATGAAAAGCAAGTAGTGTATAACTGGCCTGTCTCCACTGCCCCAAAAGGGTGTCTGCTTTTAGAAAAGGAAATATTCTAAGAAAAAGACACCCTTAACAGGAGATAAACTGGAGTATGGATTTCCACTATAATTCTTGCATTGTCATTGAAGTATATGATTCTAAAAGAAATTAGGGCCTTTCTAGTGTATTGATTTATTCACATATTTTTCTTGTTTCTTTTTAAAACAAATGCTTAGTATATAATAATTTGTGAGTCTGTTTGTTTTATTTTAAAGCAAGTGGAGAGGAACCCCTCTGTTGATGGGCCCACCAGAAAAAAAAAATCTCAGGAGAAAGATTTGCGATGGCTTTTCCCAGAAGATCTACTTTGAGAATCACTATTGGGCCCGCATGTGAGTGGCCTGGTTCCGAGAAAGGTGATCAATTACATTCCTGGTCCTGATTTTGTTGTGTGTCCTCCACAGATGATGTCATGTTGTTACTGCTACTCCTCTGGCTATTTGACCAATGTCTGTCAGGTTTCTAGATAACGTGTTTCCATAGCCTACGCCTTCTGCCTTGGATGGGTATAAGTCGGTTGCTAACATCAAAGTGTCATAGAGTTGTTGTGTTACAACGTGAGAGACTCCAAATGGCAAGGGGCCAGTGCTTGAAGTTTTCAGACACTTTCTGTGATGCTGAGCTGGAAGGAGGGCACATGTCATTGCTCCTTCCCACTCATGACTGGATTTTAGGTTCTTCCCCAGTATTCAGAGTGTCAGGGAGAGGGGAGGGGAACTAGCAGCAGTGCATATGAAAGCTTGTTAGAAATGCAAAACCACAGGCCCGACCAAAGGCCTACTGAATCAGAATCTGTACTGTAACTAGATCTCCAGTTGACTTATGTGCACACTCCATTTTGCAAAGTGCTTCTCTACTTTACCAAAGGGTCGGTTCATATGGTCTTTTCTTACCCCATACCTTTGCCCTATCCCTTTAAATCTTTCCAAGGATTCTTCACTATTCAATGTAATTATATAATACATCTTAGATTCTGCTTTTTCTACTGGAACAGGAAGTCAGGATTGAGGAAAGGCAGCACAAAAATAGGACTATTATGAAGTAAGCCTCAGACATTCCGATTTCTTCATATTAAAAATCTACTCATAATGAGAATTAGTCTAGTTGAAATTACTGGCTAAATACAATACTTAATAATAATAACAATAATAATGTTCTTAAGTGAAATAAAATTAGACACTCTTTTAACCTCTGCATTTCTGTAGTTTGTGCATTTGTTGGTGTCATAATTACTATTACATTGGGAAGAATCATACTGATTTTAAATCTGATGAAAATAAGGAATAGATGCTGAAGTCTTAGGAAAGATTCTTCAAGTGAATGCCCTCAGCTATAATACAAATGTCCCTTCTTTTCTCTTGTTGAAACTGGGTGTCATGGTAATTTTTGCATCACGTGTGTCTGTGGCACCAAAGGCCTGGGTTCTTCTGGGGAATGTCACAGGTCTGTTGGTTCAGGCCACATTCAGAATTCTGGGACAATCTCTTCATTTGACTATCCTAGAGTAACAACGATAATCGTGATAATAGCTTAAATCTCTGCAAGCACGTTATATTATGTGTGCTGAAAGGTTTATGAAAAGAAAACAAAACTAAGAACTATTCAATAACAGGCAAATAGGCAAATTATAGTATTCTGACACCCCACAATAAAAAAAAGTGGTCCCTGTATGCTAATCATTATTAGTTACTTGGCATACATTATCTCCAGTTCTCGTGTCTAGGAACTATTATTCTTATTTTAGAGTTAAAGAAAGCTAGAGAAATTTCAAAACTGTTCTTAAGATCATGCAAATAATAAATGATGGAGCTTGTATTCAAACTGTAGTCTATACTTCCCACAAACAGGCATTTATCTAAGCTCTACAATTCTTCATCACTTGATATATGATATACAATGAGTAATTACCTTTTAAGGTAACAGGGGAAGGCAGCTACTTCCAGTGGACTCCTACAGTACCCTTCATCCCTGAACTACAGATCCACTGAGGGCCCTAGCACTGCTGGCTAATAGAAAAAGTCTGAATGAAGTTCAGGATCATAGTGATCCCAGGTCTCCAAAGGTCCTGCTTGCATTGCCCAAGGGGAGCTTGTGTTCAGTTGGCAATTTGTTTTCATAGCTACAGTTACTTTTAATCAGTGCTGCTGTTATTCTATTTCCTTCAGGATTTTTCTCTATCATTGGTCTCTCTCATGTTTATATTCCTCCCCTCTCTCAGCCCTCTTCTCTTGTTATGGGCATACTCAAGTCTCATCCTAAAAAAGCAATCAACCACTAGCAACAAGAAATGTTTCTTGACTCTGATTCTCCTTCCTACGGTTGCTCCACTCTTATACCCTCTTCTGCCTCTTGACAGAGTGGCTGCCTCACTTACTATCTACAAATCATTATTTTTCATTTACTTTTGAATCAATTGCCGCCTGGCTTTCTCTTCCTCCACTCACTGAAACTAATTGAACTATTTCCAGCAAGTTTCATGATGCTGATACCCAATAGCCTTTTTGCTGGAGGAAAATGGAAATATAAATGACATTTTATATTGGAGGAAAAGGGAATATAAATGACATTTGTGGAACACATCCTGTGAGTCATCTTTCTGCAATGTCCTTTGTCTATATTTTCTTATCTAACCCTCACAGTAACCCTGTGATATTTTAAATAATCAATATTATTATTATTTAAAACTCAGGAATAGGTTCAGACCATTCCATTAAAATAAGGTAGAGACCTGACTCAAACCTAGTTCTGTCTGACTCAAAATTTCATGTTATTTTGTTATACAAAGTGTAAACCAACCAACCAACCAACCAACAAACAAAAAAGGTCTAAGCCACCACACTGCCCGCCCAGCCATCTGAATGGACCCCTCCTCTTGGCCAAGGGCTTTCCAAAGTTAACCTGAAAAACTTGTTCAAGCCATGATGGGAAGGGGGAGCCAGACATGCCTCATTATACTTTCCTGCCTTTTGGAATTACTGATAGAACAGACTCTTTAAGTCTGATAGGAAATATTCACAATCTATTCTCGCTCAGTCTGCTACCTGGAGGCTTCATCCGCCTGATAAAACCTTGATCCCCACAACCTCTTATTGTAACCCAGACATTCCTTTCTATTGATAATGACTTTTAACCAATTAATTGCCAATTAGAAAATCTTTGAATCTGTCTATGACCTGGAAGCTGCCACTTCAAGTTGTCCTGCCTTTCCGGATTGAATTAATGTAACTCTTATAGGTATTGATCGATGTATTTTGTCTCCCTAAAATGTATAAAAGCAAGCTGTACCCTGACCACCTTGGCCACATGTCAGGACCTCCTGAGCCTGTGTCATGGGTGTGTCCTTAACCTTCACAAAACAAACTTTCTAAATTGCTTGAGATCTGTCTCACATGCTTTTGGGTTCAAAAGGGAAAAAAAAGAAATAGAAGCAAGGAGTGGAGGGGAGAGAGAGAGAGAGAGAAAATGAGAGCGAGAATGGAAAGAAAAGGAAGAGGGGAGGAAAGATTTAAATCCAGCACCTGTAATCCCAGCACTTTGGGAGGCCGAGACAGGCGGATCACGAGGTCAGGAGATCGAGACCATCCTGGCTAACATGGTGAAATCCCGTCTCTACTAAAAAATACAAAAAACTAGCTGGGCGAGGTGGCGGGCGTCTGTAGTCCCAGCTACTCGGGAGGCTGAGGCAGGAGAATGGCGTAAACCTGGGAGGCGGAGCTTGCAGTGAGCTGAGATCCAGCCACTGCACTCCAGCCTGGGTGACAGAGCGAGACTCTGTCTCAAAAAAAATAAAATAAAATAAAATAAAATAAATAAAAATCCAGCAAAGTTTTTCTACAAGTGAATCAAATTGACCATTAGATAAATTTCATTGCTATTATTACCTTTTAATTTTATTGTACAGGAATATTTTATTTCAGGATTGAAAGTGGAACATAGAATTGGGAATAAAAATAATACTAGTAACAAAAGTTACTTATGTTCCAAAAGTAGCATACTTAATGGAAAGGCTTCCGATCCTCTGTTAAATTATGTTTTCTATAGAAATGAAGGCTGCAGCTGGGGTATCTACTTGCTAATACTGCCACCATGCCCAAGTTTCTGAGGGATTTGTTCATGCACAAGAAACTAGGATATGGGGCGGATAGCGAATGAACACTAATTTGTGTGTGCTATTTAAGTTTTTTTGAAATTATTCAAATTTCTCTGGCCTAGAAACCAGGACAGAATCTCAGGACAGATGGCTTGGTAATGAGTTTTTCACCTCTTTTGGCTGCCAAGCAATTTGGAAATTGCACTCGTCCAGGTCCTTGTCAATGCAGTTCGGCACTTCAACTTGAAGACGAGTCTGACACCAAGAAGTTGTCATCATCAGCAGCTAATGCTTAGCAAGTGAGGCACATCAAGTGTCATGAAAACGGAAAGACAAAAATTCTGTTCTGGTTATTGTAACTCCCTAACAAGTTTGGGGTGCATCTGAATTTCTGCGTTGAGTTAGTTCAACTTACATCTGCATTTCAGACTTCACTCTTAGCTTGAAATTCAATACTATTTATCAGATTATCTATTGGACAATTTTTACTTGGGTGTCATGCAGACACCTCAAAGTACACAGGCTCAAAACTAAACCCTTAATCTTTCCCAAAAAATCCCCTCCTGCTCCACTGCTTCCTGTCTCAGTAGTCTCAGTGAATATTAACATTATCCAACCAGCCAGTGACTCAAGCCTGGAAACCTTCTTGACTATTCCCCTTTCTCCCTCCATCACGTCTAATTACAGACACTTCCTAAACATCTCCTGAATCTGCCCACTTCTCTCCAACCCTATCACCATCACGATCTTTAGACCATCCTCAATTAATTTTGAACCACACTTGGTGTAGCTCCCTGACTAAAGGCCATCAGCCTTGCCCTTCTCTGCCCAGTTCATTTTCTCTTTGGAGCTAGTGTGGTACATTATATCAGATTGTGCCATTGCCCTGCTGAAAACTTCCCCATACTTTCCGCTAGCTGAGGGATGAAGTCTAAACTCCTCAATATGGCTCAGATGGCTCCCTCCCCAGCACCAATTTTTTTTTTTTTCCAACCAGTCAGTCATTAAGTCAGCAAGTACTTACTGAGTGCCTGTTCTGTGCCAGACCTTGCTTTAGGTCCTAGGGATACAGCAATGAACAAAATAGTCACTGCCCTTAAGAAGCTTCCATGCTAGCAGGAGCAGACATGATAAACATGGCAACCAACAATTGCATAAGCTTAGGTGCTGGCAAATACCAGAAGGGAGATATTTGTGTGTGGTGCCTCCTATAAGCTTTTCTTTATCCCACCTAAACTGGACATGTGCTCTTCTGTAAGCACTGTGTCATCACACTTTAGCACCTCTGTGTTATTTCTTATTTGATTGCCTACCTTTTATGCTGGATCACTATAGGTTTGAGGAGGGCAATGATTCATTCTAGATACCATCATAGCCTAATGACTAGTTATTGCCTAGCATATGTCAGAAGCTTAGTAAGTATTCGTGAAAGGAATGTTACCTGTTAAGTACGAATTAATTGGTAGGCTGTTATCTGATTGGGTAAATTAAAATATATATGGCTAAATTAAAAAATTGGGTGAAAATTAAAAGTTATAGTTCTTCTAA